TTAACCAGTGAGGCCATTGAGTGTGGTGGCTGAGAGATACCAGAAGCTATAATCCCTCAAATGTAACTTTTATTAATGAAAGATACCTTTTTATAGTTTAGGGGACCAGAATGTACGAGGTGGTATCATAAAGTAATAATTATCACCCAGACGTTGTTATGGTATATTGATGAAATTTTGTCAGTGCCATCATTGGTCCCTAAGTGCATGATGTTGAGAAAATCAGCTCTTTGTGTCCTTTATTTTTGTTACAGGTTGTGCCAGAAGTGACTAAAGTGTAAGATGGAGAAGACTGAGGCTCCCAGCATGATAAATTTCCTGCATTTGAAGGGTGATAGTGCCCAGCAAATTCATGATGAGATAATGGTGGTTTATGGAAACGATTGCCCATCTTATGACACTATCATGAGGTGGAAAAGGAATTTCCAAACTGGCCACATGTCCCTCACAGACAAGCCAAGACCTGGAAGACCATCATTGAAGGATGATGCAGCCACAGTGAAGAAAGTGGAAGACAGACAAGCAACCATACAACCTTTTGGCTGAAGAAAGGGATATAAATACTTCATAATCATAATCATGAATGAAACTGGTCTCAGTTATGGTAGTGTGGAAAATTATTCATGATGAACTGCACACGTCTAAGGTGTCTGCACACTGGGTTCCACATTTGCTAACCCCTTTCCAGAAACAAACACAGTGTGACCTTTCAAGACAAATGCTAAAGCTGTTGGAACAGGATGAAAAGGATTTTTTTGATCGTCTGGTAACCATGGATGAATCTTGGATCTGTCAGTATGATCCAGAGACTAAAACCATGACCATGGAGCGGAATCATGCTGATTCTCCTCCCCTCCAAAAAGGCAAAGGTCAGCAGGGAAGGTCGTGGAGGCATTCTCACAGATTACCTTGCAAAGGGACAAACCATCACTGGCACATACTACAGCAATCTTCTGGACAAGTTATAAGATCCTCTGAAAAAGAAACGCTGCGGTATGCTCTCCAGAGGCATTAGTTTCCTAGCTGACAATGCACTAGCTCACTCATCTCAAGTTGCAGTTAACAAAGCAAGGGCATGTAGCTTTGAGATCTTGCAGCATCTGCCTTATTCTCCCAACCTCACACCAAGTGAGTTTTTCTTGTTCCCAGACATTAAAAATCCATTGTGGGGTCACTGACAACACAAATAACGTCATTCATGTAGTGGAAGAGTGCTTTAAGGTGCAATCTGCAGACTTCTACAATAATGGTATTTGGAGGGTCAATAAATGCTGGGAAAATGTGTAAATCTGGATGGTGACTACATAGAGACAAGTTAACAGCTACAAATCAAAACAAACTTTCTGTCAAATTTTTTAAAAGGTGACAATTAAAACTTTATGATACCCCCTTGTGCAGGCTCATTGACCAGCCCCATGCTCCATGCAATAGAAAGATCTTTGTATTGCCAGCCTAGCATCTGGCTGCCCCCCATAGGCAACATTTCACCTTCATAGATAGCTCTGTTGGTTATGGTACCCTGAGAAAACTGCTTTCCTTCATTTAGAAGTGGGGAAAGTGTGACTCCCCCTAGATCCCACTTTTGCCATCCTTGAAAACTACTATCACATCTCTTAAATATTCTTCTCACTAGGGTTTTGTTTTTGTTTTTTTTGAGGAGGTGCAATTTTCACCCATTCTTCTGAAAACTATGACAGAACCTAACAAAATGTACAAAAACACCCATCCACAAAAACTCCCACAGAAGCCCCCATTCCCTGAAAACACTCAGAATTCAGCTATAAACCAGCCAAAATGGTGACCAGAACTGATGTCTGATCACTTCTGGTCACCATTTGTTTGGGATACAGTTGAAAACTGAAGTATGTTTCTGTGCTATCTTGTGGGTATTGCCTCCAGGGGGGTAGGTCATGGGAAATTTTCCCCCAGCCCCTGCACGGTTGTCCACCCCTGGTTTATTAGAAATATAGATCTGAATTGTAATTTTTAGGAAAGCACTTTTGTTTAACTGGAGATAGCTCAGTGGCTGAATAAGAAATGAAATACAGTACTCTAATTATCAAAGCATGGGCCAGGAGTTGGTTGAAATAAATTGAAAATAAAGCCTTCTGATTTTACTTCTGACTTTGAATATAAACCAGTACCCAATGAGCTAGTGATTTTTATTGATTTAACTGGCATTCATCATACAAAAGAATTGCCGAATCAAATATTGCATGGTGTTTGCTTCAATTTCTGTCCCTGTAAAAAGAAATCAATAACTCTCCTCCCTATAGACTTTGTGTCAACTTTAATGATCCAGTTTGGAAAGACTTTGAATATGAGGATCTGTTGTTTCAGCATTTTTTTATGATTAACTAAGTATTTGTGAAAATCATATTTGCTATCTGACTTGGAAATCCTTCCCTTGAATCAAATAAGTGGAGTCTGGTTGTGTTTATTGGTGGTATGAGAAAAACATTGCTCTCGTGCAAAAAACTAGTCATTAATTGGGCTGAATCTGTGTCATTTTGCTCATGGAATGATTTCCATCAGTGGACTCAGGAGGTGAACAATTTCCTTTCCCCTCTGCAGCCCCCCCTCCCCCATGAATCCTAAAAATCTGCTCCAGTGGACTAGGAAATCTTCTGGAACAGATTTTTAGGTGGCACAGAGGGCTACAACAAGAGAGGAGAGGAAGAAAATTCCTTGGCACTAGCGGAAGTCTGCTAACACAATGCTGAGTTCAAGCCATTAAAGCATCACTCCCCAGTGCAAGCCAATTTTAAGCCTTGCCTATGGTAAGCCACAATTGAATTGAAATTCTCTATGTGTTTGGGGCCCATTAAATTGTTTGAAAACAAAAAATAGTCTTGTTTTGCATGAAAATCCCCTGCATGTAGTGTGTGTGTGAGGGAGTGAAACTTAGGGAAGTTCTATCTGTGTTGCTCTGTTATCCTTGGGATGAGGCACATGATCCTGTAGGAGCGGCCTCTGGCCACAATTGGGCCAGAACTGTGGCAACCACACAGCCTGCTCACAAAGCAGGCTGCCACTGCAGTCCCAAATACCAGTCAGAAGTCAATCCAAATTGACTCCTTTTTAGTCCAGTTTTTAGTCCTGAGCATAGCCTCGATGTGGCTTCGAGACGCTTTGGGGGCAAGTGTCATGTAAATGCCACACCCGCAAAGTGGCCAGAAACTGCTTTATTTGGCCTGTGTGTTTCAGGCAGTTTTCAAGGAAAGGATGAGTGTTTAGAGTCCTAGAATCATAGAGTTGGAAGAGACCACAAGGGCCACCCAGTCCAACCTCCAACATGGGATGGACAGAAAGTACAGCATAGCATGCATCAGACTTCTTGATGCTCTAGAGCAGAGGCAGGCAACCTTTCCCCTTTAAGGGCTGAGGGACTTCAGCTCCCAGAAGCCTCAGCCATGTTGGCCAACAGTCCCATGTTGGCCAATAGCTCCTGGGATTCTGGGAGCTGAAGTCCCTCGGCCCTTAAAGGGGAAAGGTTGCCTACCCCTGCTCTAGAGCTTCATACAATATTATAAAGGGAGAAAGAATTTGTCTCTCACCTGGAATACAGGATCCTTTATGCATGGGGAGCCATGAGAAGGGGTATCTCAACCTGTGAATGCCTGTGAGATAGATATGATTACATTCCCCCTTCAACATACTTTATTTACCCCCAAAATGTATGGCTTTCTTGTTTCCATTTTCAGCTGAATTTCCAACAGACTACACTCCTACGCAGGTGTTTGCCTGCACACAAGCACAAGCATCCTGTAAGATAGTGGGGAAAATATGCTCCCTACTGTTGTTTTTTGGTCCTTAGGAGTCAAACAATTATCCCAAAATTTTTGCCATGCTTTTTGGCATTCCCTCCAGGTCCGTTTAGGTCCAGGAGAGGCCCTTTTTGAAAACTGCTAACTTCCTAAAATACTACTTCTGAGCCTACTGGAATGGGTGGGTGGGCACAGGGGGCAAATGTACTTATGCAGGGTGTGCAGTGGGGGGGGGGAGGTTGGCTAATCCTGCTTAAGACATGATCCCCAGCACATTTCCCCTCATGCCCAATAAGTTGCTATTATAGCACATTCAGAGGTAGAAAAGGTTCTGTAATGCTGGGCTAAATGCAGTTCTAGAACTCTTGTAACAGGAAACCCTCAATATGTAACAATCTAAATGGCTGCAGGGTGGTGAGGAAGATACTGTGGTGTGTAGCTTGCATGTGCCTATTTCTGTGGCTTAGCAATATTTCATATCTGAAGGTATTTATACTATAAAAATTCAAGTGCAGGTTTCAGACATGGCTATTCTGTGGCTGTTTTTGTTTTCTTTTTCTTACCTACATTGTTATGTGTGTTTGCTATAAAAGTAGAAATATAGACAAATCTATATCTCTCTGCTGTAGAGAACCCTAGTCAGAGTGGATGACAGCTAATAGCTATCTTATATCCACTTGCATTTGACTTGAGTGTCAGGCCTTATCTATTTTGTTTTTGTTTTGCAGTATATTCATTCAGCTGGAATCATTCACCGGGTAAGTTGCATCAGTGATATAATGCCCTTTGACCATCATTGGTTGTGCTTTCTACATTGAAACGGTTACAGCACAATCTGGTACCTGCCTACTTAGAAGCAAGTCCCATTGAGTTCAGTAGGGCTTCCTCCCAGATAAGTGGGGATAGGATTGTAGCCTTAAAGACTAGTTTGATCTTATTAATTTTAGTCCTGTTTTAACACTCTTCACTGTATTCTGATGCAGGATCTGAAGCCCAGTAACCTAGCTGTAAATGAAGACTGTGAATTAAGGGTAGGATTCATGCTATTTTGATTATTTCAGTGGAATTGGGACTAAGTACATTTTAACACAAATATGAATCAGAGTAACACCTATTTTTATGCTAGTGTTGGTTTTTAGAATTTACCTTTCTAATATTGAGAAAGTAAGTAAAATAATGTCAGAATATTCACAAATTATTGCTGCGTTAGATAAGTGGCATGTGATTAACATGGGACAGGTGGCTTAGTTGTAGAGCACTTGATTTGTGTGCAGAAGGTTCCAGGTTCAGTTCCTGGCAACACCAGATAGAGTTTGAAAAACTCCTGCCTATAAAACCCTAGAGAACTGCTTCCAGTCCGTGTTCACAATACTTCCTCTGTTCCTATACAAAATGCATGATTTTTTCAAATCTGTCTAACTTTGAACTTTCTGAATACAAACTGGGCTACTGTGAAAGGTTTGGGCTTCCCCGCCCCCATTCAAGGCAGATATCCTGTTGGTTTCTACAGTACCTGTGGTGTTTGCATAAAACATTGTTCCAATATTCAGACCTCCAGAAAGAAAGAGCTGAAAGAGCAGAATGTAGCAGATAACAAACAGCTGCTACAATTATAGTTCAAGTTTAGCATTAGGCAAAGAAGATAGATAGTAACATTATTGTGGGAATCCACATTCCAACAGAGTGGAAGTGTCCGAGGGGTCTTAGTTGACAGGTGATAGAACCCCATGGTTTGTATTGATCTTATTATTGGTGCTCATATTTCTTATTCTTCAGCAAGTACCACTCTGTGAAATCTTCATTAATAATGTTTATGTCTCACATTTTCTTCTGTAAGATGAAAAGAGGTGGTTTCTGTTCAGTGATCTTATTGATGTATATTTTTTCTCCCATATTGTTCCAAATAAGGAACAGTTTAAGAACAGAGAGGTCACCATTGTTGAATCATGCTGACTGCCACTCTCCAATAAGGGTGGGCAGATGTGAAGGGCCTCCTGGAATCCTCTGAGGCCCAATCAGAAAGCCAAATTGTTTCCCCCCGAAAAAACCACAAAGGTGGAAACAAAATCAGGAGTGGCCAGTAGTCCACTGCAGTGGCATCACCTGGTGCCGGGGGGGGCTGCTTGGCCCTCGTGGCTTCATTGCTGACCCAGCTCTCTCCCTGGGGAGAGAGCAAGGCCAGCTATGAAGCCACAAGAGGCGTGCTTGCACCTCTGCCACCCTCATTGCTGCCTGAGTTCCCTCCTCAGGGAGAGATCCAGGGCTGCAGCGAAGCCACAAGGGACATGCTTGCCTCTCCACTGCAGTTAGAAGAGGACCCAACCAGAGTGTCATTCCCCCATGGGATGTCACCTGGTGCAGTCTGGACCTCCACACCCACAGTGATGCCATTGGTCCATTGCTGTAAAACTGTGCAGTGAGCCCTGCAATCTACCTGGGAAACCTGGAGGGGTTTAAGAGCTACCAAAAAATTTCTTAAAGGTTCACATGGGGGTCCAAGGTAACACTTTGCTCATTGTGCTATAGAGAAAACCCCCACCTATCAAGTTGCTTTCTCCAAATAATTTCCTTCCCACAAAAAGTGACTATCTTTCTTTCAAAAAGTATTTTGAACAGTTTGCTCTAATGGTTTCTTGAAGGGCAGGCTCTAAATATATCATTTATTTATTTAACAAATTTATATCCTGCCTTTTTTCCAAATGGGATTCAAGGTGACTTACAACAATTGAAAAGGTGCAGCTAAAATATTGAAATAAGGATAACATCAAAAGTATCTTTCCATATGCCCTGATTATTTGGACTTGCACATGGCTGGTGATGTTTTTGTCCATGTTCAATTATGCACTCCAGTGAGGAACTATCCAAAATGCTGAATTACCACCCCCAAACAGTTCAGCATAAACCTGGAATGGATCACTGACATGGAAGTCAACAGTTGTCACTGTCTTAGGGACAACAGTGAGATACAGTCAGCTCTCCATATCCATGGATTCCTTATCCATGGATTCAATCAAACACAGTTTGAAAATATTAAAAAAACTATAAATTTTAGAAAGCAAACTTTGATTTTGCAATATTATGTAAGAGACACAATTTTCCTATGCCACTGTATATAATGAGACTTGAGTATCCATGGATTTTGGTATCCATGGACCAGGGGAGTGGGTCCTGGGACCAAACCCCAGTGTAAACCAAGGGCCCACTGTATAAGAAAGGAGATGTTTTAAAAGGAGATTTTACTTTACAAGACATTTGTTCTCAAGTTAGAGGTGCACCAAGGCATTTCGCTACTTGAAATGGCACAGCAAATGGGGCTGTATACTCATCCCAGTCAGGATACATAATATCTAAATCAGCCAAGTTATTCTGGCACAGAAGGAAGAGACTTATACAAACATGTTACTCCATCTGGGGCAATAAAAATACACTAATAATAATAATAAAATGAATAGCTAGCCAATTGCTGCCCATTCATGACAACCAAAATGAGCCATTTTATCCTGCCTAGTGGGCAAACCTGAAACAAAAAAAAATCATCCTTTGATTTCATTTGTGAGTTATTCTCTGTTTTATATGTGTTGAACTATTATATCTCAAAAATAAGTGATTGGTTGGCTGGGTATGGAATGAAAACACTGATATAGCATTAATGTTCATATCAGTTTTTATAAGGTAAGGTGTTTTGTTGTTTCTCTTATTTGACTTTGTCATGTAAAATCTGGATGTCTTCATATGATTGTTCTGGTCCTCAAAATCCTACACTATACAGATATTCAATTTCCATTAGTCTTACACCCATCCCCCCAAAAGCAGAGCACCCATTTCATGTATATGGTCATCTTTATGATGAATGGGAGTGTTGACCCTGCCCGTCCACCCTGTGAAGACGAGCACTACCTCAAGTAATATGTAGGTCTGGGTTTAGTCCCACTGAATCTTGTGGCTTAAGACAGGTATGGAGAATGTGTGCCCTTCAAGATATTGTTGGACTGCAGTGTGATTCCTCACCATTGGCTGTGCTAGGCTGGGCCTGGTGGGAGTTATTTCATTATTTATTAATACACAAATATTTATAAACCATTTAGATTTGGAGATTTCGATGTGTTGTGCAACATATAATGTAAACCAACACAAAGAATAAAGTGCCATGTTTACATTGTGCTTGAAATATATACTAGGTTGCTTTCAAAACAGGTAAATTTTCAGCTTGCCTCTAAAAATATAAACAGTTGGAGTATATTGAATATCAGGAGAAGAGTATTTCACAGGGGTGGATGCCACTAAATGCCCTGCTCTGATTGACTTCAGAGGAGACTGAGGGACCACGTGGCACCCCTAGGAGGGTCCTCCAGTTATCTTCAAGGAGTGATGCTCAACCAGGTAATTATTCCAGCATCTGGAAGGCCATCTATTCCCCCACCTTGGGTTATAAGGATGTGTTTTTTAAAATTAGTTTATGTATTACACTATTCAAAGCACTTGACTAAAGTCATTCCACTAGGTGACACTTCCTAAACAGTTGAAGTTGCTTAGCCAAATGGTAATTACAATCAAACCTCAACTTTTGCAGGCTTAACTTTCATGAATTTGATTATTCATGAGTTTGTCATCAGTAATTAAATGTTTGAGGGCAGTGTTTTGTTTGTTTTTTGGCATTTTGTGGCCTACTGCAGAAAATCACCAATGATGTGCGTAGACTAGAATGTAAAAACAAACCCTTTAAAAAGTTTAGTAAGTAATAAATGCATTCAATAATACTGAGTATATCTTCTTACCCTTGCTTTATTGGAGTTTCACCTGGTGTTGGTGACCCCACTGTGGCTGCTTTCCCCTTCTCCAGCCACATCTTGGACTACAAGGCCTGCCATACCCCCACATCTGGGACTACAAGGCTTGTGACAGCAGGACAGAAGTGATGCTTCACTTAGGTTCCTTAGACTATAGAGATAAGAATATAGATTAAGTTAAGGTTTGGATTTGGGATGACCTAGAGATATTTGTGTTTTTGTTGTTGTTGTTTGGTTGGTTGGTTGGTTGTTTTTACTTTAATAGAGGTCCTGTGCCCCTAACCCCCACAAATGAGAAGGGTTGGCTGTAATTTTTAGATTATTCATGCTCTCTTCAAAGTTTGCCCCAATCTCTCTGTTTTAAAAGTAAATAAGGGTTTGCTTGTAACTGAAAATATTTCTATGTTAATCTCAGAACTACAGCACCATTTTAAACAACTATGAACTTGCATGGACATAATGCTTGATGAACAGACTATAATACAGGAGAAATGCCTTATGGCCTGATCGAGCTACTGCAAAACATTGAGCTACCTAGAGCAGAACAGCACAAATCTGTCAGGAATACGGAATTAATGTTGCTGCCAATATTTAGAGTCAAATATTTAGCATCATGGTTGTAGGTTGCAATTTTAGGGCCTAAGCAGATGGCTTAAAAGGCCGTCTTTGGCGCAGGGAAGGG